TATTGTAAAATAGTTTTTTTATATGTTGCACACCGGGTGAAAAGTCAGTCGTGTAACATCGACGGTCGCTCCTGTAGTTGCTAATATCGATCTACCTCCCGATATCTTACCAATATTCTGCCAGTATACTGCTGATATTCAGCAGTTATTTGACGTCTCTATGGCAGACTATCGGGTATATAACAAGAAGCTTGTCTCCCGGTATGCACCCAATATTCATTGATTCAACCTGTGCTCTATAAGTGGAAATTTTATCTACAAATTTCAGATTAGTTAGGTATTTTACACCCTCGTACCATAATTAGTCTGATTTGGTCGTCATAAAATTATGACTATCACTGATTTTTAATATGCTTTGGTGGATAATCGGGATTTTTCCCATAGCCATGAGACTCAAATTTCGAGGCTAAAATAAATTGGCAATTCGAATAAATTAAGAATGAAAGTTGTAACCTATTTTTAACATGAAATACTAATAAAAAATTCAATTTGATGATTATAAAATTAAATTATATTTTTTTTTTAAAAAAATTGTATGCAACGTAAATAAAATTTTATTTGTTCATTTGTTTTTTTTTTTGGTTGAATTTCTTATAAAAGAGCAATGACAAATCTGATTGAGAAATAAAATATTTTTACCAAATATTAAACACCTGAAGAAATATTATACACCCGAAGAAATTTATCCGAAAAACATTTTACCCTGAAAAAAAATCACGCGCCCAAAATCATGAATCAAAAAATTTATTTTGCATTCATTTTATTAGTTACACTTTCTGTTACCATTGCTGTTCCGATCGAAAAAAGGACCACTGAATTTAAAAGATTTGAAATAAAATCCAATATTACTCTCAATGTGGTAATGTCACCTGATCCACTCAATTTTAATCAAGAGATTACTTTACGTGTTCCGGAAATGCACCCTCCGAAGTAGTTAGCGTTAGTGCTATTGGAAATGCGTTCAGTATTGGTGATAACGGTAAAAAAAACGTAACTCGGATAGTGCTGAGTGCAAACTAAATGAAGTTAGTAAAACTGGTGGTCTGTTTGATGTGACTTGCGATAAACTTAAGCCGGTACCAGATAACTCAAATATAGGATCAATAGCATTAATTGCGATCGCGCAATTTAAAACAGACTTTGCCTGTGCAACTAGCCTTGTTGTTTTTAGACCTTAAAATTTCATGTGACTATGTAATTGTAATTGTAAAAGTAATTTATACCGTACCGTTCCGAAATTAAGCACCCGAAAATAAGCACCTCCTAAGTATAATCGTATCTGATTTTTTTTCAAGATAAGTCTACCTTCTGTTCCAAGTAAACTTATTCTCCAGGTCAAGACGATTCTAACGGTGGTAAAATCATCAAAAATGGTCCGATAGATCATTTGAAATTATTTCTCAAAGTTCTGGCAATATATCGGTTTTTCTTTTTTTATATGATCTCTAATGTAAACAAACGTCACCCGAACTTTGAAGATAAATTGTAAGCGTTCTACCGGACCAAATTTGATGATTTTACCACCGTTAGAATAGTCTTGGCCCGGTGAATAGCTTTATTTACAAACAGAAGGTAGATTTACTTAATACAAAATCCCCTATAATTAATTCTTAAAATTATATCCGAAAATAAGCACTCCTAATAACAAAAAAAGGGTGCTTAATTTCGGAATGGTACGGTATTTGTACACTAGTGTATGAAACTCGAGTACAAATCATAACTCAAAACTCTGCTTATGAAACATTCTTCTGGCTCTAACAAAAATACTACGCAAAATTTAGTATAAACTACCCTCTACACAAACCAAATTATGTCATTATACAAAAATTACGTTTTTTGATGCATTTCGACCATAAAAATTACTATCTGCATAAACTTGCAAATCAGATCAATAAATGTGTGATTTGAAAATTTTTTCTGTCCGCACGTCATTGCTATTGAATAATAAAAACAAAAAAAAAACTCAGTAATTGATGTTGTTATCGTGTGATTAATTTCACTATTTAAAAAAAACTGTTTCTGTTTAAAATCCAAATTAAAAGCATGCCCAGCGATAAAATTAGCTTCTTTTGATATATATCTAACCAGTAAATTAATATATTTGATATTTAATTGTTAATTCTGAAACGCCAATTGAAATATCTTTAATAGAGAAAAGTATGGATTTCAAGTGTTAACCAACCAGAACAACTCTATTAAATAAGCGCACTTGATGATAAAGTTGTAAGTATCTACTGGTAAGCGATTATGTAAATAACTATATGCTATAATAAAAAAAATAGGATTTATAAATCAATTACTGTGTTGCAGATTCGTAGTGCGAAGAAAAGATTTCAAGTTTTAATTATCCAGAGTAAATCCAGAGTAAATCCATATCGAAGTTTTTTTAGTGGCCATTTTATCTTAGTCAATGTACAGGGAATGTTAGACTACGCGTAATGCACATAGTAACAGGTATATGGTTTGCAAATATATATATCAAATAAATAATATAAGAAAATTAGTTTTTTATTTACTTGTACATGTTAAAATACTAAAGTTAACCTAAGCAGTGATGAATAGGAAGTGATATATCATGGCCTCTTACACAAATAAGATTAAACCCCATTTTTCCAAACAAGAGTTTAAAAAGCCACACTGTGCTAAATATTTAAAAGGGCTTTTGGTTCTTCTATTAGTATGTGAATTATGCTACAGTTGGTACTTGGCATAGAATTGAAATTACAAAAATAAATTTAGAATACATTTTTTATATAGATTAACTAATAAGAATCGTTAATAAATAAAGCAGGGTAAAAACCTAAAAACATAAAAAAATGAAGTTTTATATTCATAGGAAATCCTGAAGATACGTACTAATGGTACCTAAAAAATGTATGCTTTTTTTTTTTTGCCTTAAATATATATGCTATGTAATTAAAGTTGTTTTATTGATATAATTTATAGCATAAATAAGTAATATGGGTATTTATTAATTGATGAAATTAAAAATAAGTTCTAAATTGATAGTGATTAATAAATTATGCTTAGTAATTACATCATATTGATATTATAATTTTTATAAATAACTTATATTATTAGATGATTGTTTATGTTATAAATTAGTTTGATTTTACTGGTTAAGCATAGCTGAACAATCTAAACCCAAATCTCAAATATTTAATGGTAATTTTAGACACAGCTTATACAGTTGTTTTTTTTTTAATTTTGAGGAATTTTAGCATTAATCTATTATACCAGGATTTTAAAGTGCATTTTAAAAACAAACAAACAAATAAATAATAATAATAATATAATCATATGAAATATTTGATGTAAATTTAAATGCCTTTTTATTTTTGGACTTTTCCATTTTTTCTATCTGATTTTATCTTAAGTCTAATCAAATTAATCAAATGATAATCACTAAACGATAAACGCATAAACCTTCTGACAGCTTTCTGCAAATTTCATAGTACAAAATATTAAGAAATAGTGTAGTAACATTTTAACTCTTGCCTAAGTATATACTCGACTCCATAAATGCAATTTTTCTTATCATTCTCTAAGTGTGAACCATCAAACGTTTGGCTGCATTTAGGAGGGTTGACTGTATATAGAAAAATAGTTTATTTTTGACTTAGATAATAACCATAAAATTATTTTCTTTTTTTTCCAGTCAGGTCATTCAATATGCAATATTCTATTGTCTGTACTTTATTATACGTTTGTCTATAGCACATGATGGATTTATCTTATGTCCTATGAAATTTTGAAATTAACGTATTAAAGAAATTTTTTACTTTCCTCATACTTTAGTTTTAAGTAATGTGAAAGTTTATAGATCAAGATACGAAATAATTTTTTGAATGATATAGCTCAATAATGAGTAGTTTTATATTAGAGAAGCTTTACTCTTATTTGATACAAAACATTTATTAAATTTATATATGTTGTAATATAGAACAAGTTTTAAAATTTAAAAATTCAGTAATTAAATTTTTAAAAAATAAGTCGTTTTTTTTATAGATAGAAATGTAATATCAAATGTCAACTTAGCTCAACTTGTAACTTTTAAGAAAAATTAAATAAACTAAAGAAGAGATTGAATACGACATAATTAAAGTTTAACAAGTATGGGAAAGGCTCCATACTATTTTAAGAAAAATAAGGTCAAACTTAAGTTGATTGAATTGAATAGAATTGTCCAACAAACTCGCCTTGATGTGAGATAAATTTAAAAAAATTCATTTATCCAAATAAGACCTTTTCAACATTATCATGCCTTTTTATAAATTTAATATGATACTTTTCGGGCCATATAGTAGCACCTATACATGCCTTTTCGAGATCAATTGGTATTTGTTTACCATCTTTACCTAATGGTGATGCGTTTTCAATTTTGAAACACCAAAGAAGTCGTGAAACTCCCCAAAAAAGTTCAAGTTCAGCCTGTATGCATTACGTACAAAGCGAAAAATTTTGAAATTCATAAATCACAAAAAATTTTATCAATAATTTGAATTATTGTTAATTATAAATTATATATACCATATGAATTGCAGTGCAAAGTCTTCTACCAGCACCAAATCCGAAATGGTCTCTATTTTGATAATTTCCATTTGCTAAAACTGCACTACTTTCCGTAATATCAAAAAATCTTTCAGGTTTAAACTCTTTAGGATTTTCATATCTTCTTTCATCTTTATGAATTCCATATTGATTTAAAATAACAACAGAATTTGCTGGAATATGATATCCATTATATTCATCATCTTCTTCAATATAATGAGGCACACCAAGATAAATCGGACCACGATATCTCTGTCCTTCTTTAATTATTGCACGTATATAAGGCAAGTTTGGTTCATCAGAAGCACTTGGTAAACGAGAATGACCAATTACTTGATCAAGTTCTTGGTGAGCTTTGTATTGAACTTGAGGATTGTTTGCTAAAACAGCTGTGATCCACGTCAAACTTGAGGAAACTGTATCCTAAAATTTAAATGCCAACAAATTAAAATAGAATTAATATTTAAAAAAAAAACTTACAATACTCACAGTTCCTGCTAAAAAAATATCATTTATGAGATAAATAATGTCAAGTTCATCTAACATTTCTTCATCCACTTTATGAAGTAATCTTCTAATAAAACAGAGTTTCTCTTCACTATCGTTTTTGACTTCTTCAATCAATTTTTCATAGAAAGATTCAATGATTCTTCTTTCTTCAAATACCCGACGATATAATTTATTTCCCGAAAATAATCTTAATATTGGAAAAAAATCGGATAATCTATTTGTTATTTTAATAAGTTCTAAATAATTTTTCGTAAAAATTTCAAACTCTTTATAAAACGGATCTTCAATATCTTTTAAACTTTTAGCCAAGCATAAGATAGTTATGATGTTTAAACTTGCTAGTTGAAAATAATATTTAGGATATAAGCTATCTTCAATATTCGTTGAAGCTTGGTAAAGGTTTTGCATAAGTATACGAAATTGAGAATCTATCAAATCAGAATTTTTTTTTACGGCTCGTTGGCCTAAGAGCTCAAGCACTATATACATATATTAATGGTATTGTGAGACTAAAAAAACTACATTTAAAATATGCACAATTACTTACTAATAGGTGCAAGCTTTTTATATCTCTCATCATACGGGCCATTAATAAACCCTTTACTTCTTGTCAATATTTGATAAAAATAATAATTCGGTGGGCGAGATGAGTATTTCCCACCACCTATATAGACAAATAACAATTATTTATTTTTGTGTCAATCTAAAACATTTATGTAATATACATACGTTTTTGTAAAAGATCACTAACAACTTTATCTCCTGTTAATATAATCCAGCATTGTTGACCCATCTGTATACTGTATATATCACCTAATATTTTTGCCCATTCTGTAAATCTATTTAAAAAACAATTCATTCGATTATTATACTTATTTTATAATACTGTAATACTGTAATAGTATAATAATTTACATTTATCTTACTTCTTGTGTGATTCAGGACCAACTTGCCAATAATGTCCTAAAAAAAAGGGTTGATTACATTAAATAAATTAGTGAAACGAACAATTAAATTCAAAATATTTAAATAAACTAAAAAATGTACCAAAATAAAATATGCTGCCAGGTGGCGAAGGAAGCTTTTTAAGACCACGTGGCGTACTTGGTTTCTTTAAAAAATAATATAATAAAAAACATGCTAAAAAGAGATAAAAAAGCATATCGATGGTTTTTTTTTTTTGATACTTTTTAATGCGAGTTAAAAATAAAAGCAATGTGGCTTAATGGTGACAAATATTGCATAAATGTACTATATAATATCTACCATAATAGGCAATTGTTACAGAAAAATGTCAAGTAACATGATCTCTAACATATTAGATATTAGATTCCACATGAATTTCCACATGGCTAAAAAAATGACGTAATATAAATTTTTATATAAGTAAATAAGGTTGTTTTTCCGACAAATGTGTTGCAAAATTGCAAAGAAATTTTTATACATCATAATGATAATATTTTTTTTAGAAAGCTCGCGTAATAATTGTAGCTACTGAAGCTGGAAATTTTAAATATTTTAATATGAAGTTTTCGAAATTTTTGGACTCGTTTTAGGGTCAGTTATTAGTTATTAGAAATAATTATTAGCATTTGACATTTATTTTTGATAATCAATTTTCTTCAAGTTAGTTACTTTAGTAATTTTGGTTTCACAAAATTCAACCGATTGTAGGATACTCTATATTAATATGTCTATATATTAGTGCTAGTAATAAGAGCAGCGATTAGAAGCACCGCGCTGCGCGTGAAATAATGCTCAAAATCTTTCGCATGTCGAATAGTTGTTGAATATATAAGTGATAAATAACAGTAAATGGTGATTAAAAATTCTCTAAATTTGCATACTATGAAATTACCAATTTAGAAAATTATTCGAATAAATAATCCATTATTTTCTTGATTTGTTTGATTGAAATTTTGGTAATTAATGCTTCTAAAGTTATACATGAATGTCAGAGATGATATATGCCAAACGGTCTGATGAGATTTTTATCATTTTGCCATTAAACTTTGCGGCTGATTTCATAATTTCTGAAACACTTAAATTTGCTGAATGATATTTTAGCCTATTTTTGATTAAGACTATTTCCAATCATCTCGATCAATTGATTATGATAAATAATGATCCTGATAACACTCAAACATCACAATCAATAACATTATTTATAGAATTAAATGCTTAAACATACTCTTACAATTCATAAACTTTTCTATGCTTCTAAAATACCCAATAAAATTTTTTTCTATTCAATGAGCTGCCGAAGTTTCTTCTTTTAATGATTTAATCAATTTAAATTTTTTGTTGAAATAGCAATAGAATCAACTTATGAAGTTATTAGCGAAGTTGTTTTACAGCAACAACCAGTAAGATCATTCTATTTATCCCATGGGTACTATGTAACAACCCATGCTTTTTTGACAAGGTTATTTTCATCGGTCTATATGAAAATCACATGATTTTCATATAGACCATGTTGAATAACCTTGTCAGAAAGGACTTTATCTAGGTCGGGATTTTAAAAATTGTCATTCGCTAGAAAATTTGTTATTTTTTAAAAACATTCTTATTTTTAATTATTTACAAAAAGTATTTACTTATTATTAATTTATTAAATTAAAAAAAAAACATGCATTATTTAAAAATTCAAATAATCTCTAATATTGTAGTAATAGTCTTTTTAGTGGTAACGGTGATGTGATGATCCGATGGTTACTAATAAAATAGCTCCATCAATGGTTCACATAATCATTGCACTGGTCCTGGCGAATTTTAATTATTATTATTTAACAGAGGGATGCTAAAATAAAGTCATTAATAAAGAATTTAAAGAATTCAATATGTATGATAAAAATTTTTAGTTTAATAAAATAAAATATCTTCATGCCACGACTTGTGATATGGCTAGAGCATAGCTCAAGTTGTGGTAAATGATATCAGTAAGCTTTACATTAATATTATTATGTTGCTACAGTATAGTTATAATAATTTTAAAGCAATATAATATTTAAAGAAGTCATACAAGCGTTAACGGCTCTAAAATCTTTAATGAGTTGAAATCGGTTTACAAAGTTCTGTCATATAATGTCAGGTTTCATATGATATTTCAATTAAGTATTATTCTTATTTAATCAATTGAACATCATTAATCAATATACATATTAATTAATTTCTCATTTCAATTTTTATTCATATGATTTAAGGTACTCTCAAGCACATAAATTATAGATCGGAAGTTGATTTTTAATTGTTGGAAAGCAGTTTAACCGGTAAGTAGGTTCATTATCGCAATAAAAAAAATAAGTTTGAAGCCATTTTTTTTTTGTCATAGAAGGGATCATTTCAATTAATCATAGTACTATGAATGATATCGATATCTATTTAATCACATTGAGTACTCTTAGTCTAAGTTTAGTGATTGTTCATTGGTCTAATTAATCTAAGTATTTAATGTGAGCTGTTCACATTTCTTATTCACATTAACGACCAATTATAATAATTGAGCATCATCTCAATCACTATCAGGTTATATTGAGGGAGTTACTTGAGAACACCCTAAGCCTATGTTCATCCGTTCTTGGTTTAGCGCAACAATGTCGTGCTGCTACTTTAGGGTTATTTGGCAAAATAAATAGCGTGTGTCCACAAAATTTTAAGTTTGATTGGTCCTCGTGACTTATTCGTAACCTTTTTTTTATTCTTCACACGAGGATTCGGCACGCTTACCATTTGTAATAATATGGTATAGATCTGCAATTAAGAGCGCAAATACATAATTTTAATTTATTGATTTAAAATACAAGACCTTGTGAATATGAAAAATTTCACGATTGCAATAGCTGACGGTATTAAAAGCAAAGTTTTTAGACACAAGAATCGGTAACTTGATGCAAATTGATTTGTCTATTTATCTGATATTTGGCATTTTTCATTTTTTTTCTTAGAATTTTTTATTGGGTTGATAATTTGTCTATTTATCTGATATTTGGCATTTTTCATTTTTTTTCTTAGAATTTTATATTGGGTTGATGATTTGTCTATTTATCTGATATTTGGCATTTTTCATTTTTTTTCTTAGAATTTTTTATTGGGTTGATTAAATGATAATCACTGATTGTCAAAGACAATAGCGAAATAATTTTTGGATAACTTGGTAACTTGATAACTTGAAAATTAATTATATGATACCTTATAACCTTTGTTTAATTTGTTAATGTGAGCTAATAAAGATTTGTATCTTGCTTAATAACAAAAGGACCATGCACTATATATTAATGAATTAACTGTATGTTATATTAGTTGAATCTATTGTAACAGTAAACCTTTCTTTAATTTCGAATTATAAATTCTACTGTAATTATTTTGATTATAAATTCTGGCTTATTAATATTATATTGTCTTCATTCTGATTAAAATAAAATATTACATCTTAATTACATTCTATTTATGGAATAAGATTCTAAGATCTAATTTCTATTTCTGTATTTGTACACAATGAATTATTTAATATACGTATCACTAGTTTGTTTAAAATTTCTAATTCAAATATCATATGCTCATAGTCATTCTCTAAATAGAATAGTGCTAGAGATATTAGATTATTATGCTATTAACCTTAAACTGGTTAAAAGAACTTATTCATTGCTCTGTTAAAAACTAGATTATCCCTGGTGGTTTTAGAATGTTTATTATATATAAAAATCTTTTAAACCTGTTATTAATTCGAACTTACCGATTAGAGTATCTAATAATTACAATTATTAATCAACCGATTGGTATATTTTAAAGCAAGAATAGTGTTTTAAACTTCATTATCTGAACTGGTTTTCAGAACAATTCTAAATTATTCCCCTGAAAATCTAGAATAGATCTGATCTAGACTCATTCACTGGGACCCAAAATTATACATAACATGTTAATATTCTAAGTTCTAGAAAATAACTTATTCTTCTTTTAGTTCGGTAATTTCTTTTTATTGTTTTTGTTGTGGAGGTAAATAAACAACTATACATGGCATGGTAAAAAATCAAATACAATGAGATTAACTTTATCGAGTAATATTTTTAAATAAAATAATTTCAAATTTACAAATTTCTATTGATTTGTAAGTAATAATAGTACCTTTGTTATACCCAGATCATATAATTTTTTATCGTATAATTTGAAATATAATTTCTTTTATTCGATCAGATACATCTGTTTTTTTTTGCATATGCTATTGTCAAAAATTTAAAGTTATTATTCTATTCTAATCTAAATGCTGTACTGTAAATAAATTATAAGTTAAATTGTACGATTTACAATCATATAATCTGAATAATAATTTCATTTATTTAATCAATATATATCAATAAGATGTGATGTGTTTCTTTGTACAATACGCAATTGTTACCAATCGATCAATATGTATTAAATAACATATGTTTCTTTGTACAATACGCGATTGTTAACGATTTAAAATCAATATCCTTTTCTACCGTAAATGCGATAGTTTTAGCTGTTGCAATTATTCAACAAGTTTTTTTATATTACAACATGTGTTTCTTTGTACAATATGCAATTGTAGACAATTTAAAATCGATATCCTTTTCTAATATAAATGCTATGATTTTATCTGCTGCGATTATTCAGCAAGGTCCTTTGTTAATTTAATCTATTGTGATCTTATTTTTAATACGTATATAGTATCATACTATCAAATTGCATATTCATTTTGTTAATAATGCTACATAGCATTTGTAAATATTAAAGCAAGGGATGTTTGTTTTTTTTATAAATATGCATTTTTTTAGGCAGGCATTTTTTTTTCTTATCGTAAATAAATCATAGTCATATAATACTCACTGATCAAAAAATGGTTTCTCACGTTTCACTTATCGTTGCTGTAATTACTGTAAAAAACAATTCTCATGCTTGTATAGTCTCGCTAAGTATAAAATCATCTCAGATGATTAAGTTTAAATATTTCTTCTCTGCAAACCAATCACCTCAGTTGTTTACAACTGGTGATGTTGTATTTCTCTCAGGTAAATACATTGTAGAAAATTCCAAACCATGTTTCACTATTGCATACTTGAGTATTATTGAAAATGAAAATCAAAACTGTGAATTTAATGCAACCACTCTCCCCGTTTGCGTTCCTCATTGTATATACTTGGTGATTGTTAATCGCGAAGCAAAGAAAGTTAATGACTTTATTAATTTTGGTGCTGAGACCATCAAATATAATTCTGTTACCAGTAAAACCGATGTCAAGATGGACTTGACAATAATTTATCCTTTCTAATCTCCCAGGTTCAAGTATTTAGGCTCTTCAGGTTTAAATATTAAGCTACACTCTACTTATTTTATATCGGTCTTTTTAAATTTTCTAAGTCTGGAAACATAATGATTGAAGCTACTAACATTGATTATCTAAGAACTTCAACTATCAGTATTACCGCATCTGAAATCACTTCATCAATAACTAACAAACCATTAATCATTGATATTATCGATGATGATATTGAATCTATTATTATGCAACCAAAACAACTTGCTAAATCTTCTTTACCCCCATCAAAAAATATTAATGTTAATACTTTGAATACTCACTATATTGATTGGCTGCCCAATGGTGATGTTCAAGATCAAAAGGTTGTAGAATTAGATGATGACATAGATTTACAAGACGAAACTGATGATCTTCAAGAAATTCAGCCTAGAAAAAGAAGAAAATCTACTGGTGTAAAACCAAATGAAAAAGATAAATTCATAGAAAAAAATAAAAAAATAATTATCATTAACGATTTAACTAGTAACTATTTACTTCACTTATAAAAATTTTATATTTACTCTTTTCGTTTTAAATGATTTAACTATATGAAATTTTATTATTTTTTATTTCATTTTTTTTAATAAATGTTACCTTTCATACGCATTTCTATTAAAATAATAAACTATTATATCAAGACCTAGAAATAAATTATGCAAGTTCGTTTATATAATTTATAAGACACTTATGTACTAAATATAATTATATTATTTATTAAAATTAAGTATTGTACTTATCTAACTCATGATTCTTAGATTAAACTTGAAAAGTACTTGAATTATTTAATTGTGCTAGTTTATCGAATTCCGCTTAACTTATTAAATTACTATTTATAAAGCTAAATATTTCATATGCTGATTAACGAGTAAAAGCATATTTTCAAATTTATTAATATCTAATCGTTATTGACTAATCTTTCCTGCTTATTTTAATTAATTAGAACAATACATACTTTATACTTATATATTAAATTATTATGAATACCTAAACTTGAATCTAACTAGAAATTATCATAAATTAATTGTCGTCGTCAAAATCATTTCGTGACAAATGTTAATTCTCAAGCGATACTGAGAAAGTCTAAATAATATAAATTTTTTAAACAAAATAGATAAACATATAGATAAAGATAAATTAAAATACATATCGTTTTAAATTACGTTTGCAAATATATTCAAAATGCATATAATTACATAATTTATCAGTTTATTAATTAATATAACTTGATCAATTCAATTAATAATGTAAATATAAGTTACGTCACGTAAAATTCTAATTAATGAGATTCAAAATAAAATCAAAAGAATATATTCAATAATGGTGTCATTAATTTACAATTAAATGAAGTATATAAATAAAATGCTGGCCTTATATTTAATATTTATAACGATGACAAATTCTTACCTCCATATTGAAACACTAATATTTGACTCTAATCACTTGTTATTAACACTGAAATCTCAATTGTTTTTATAAATAAATAACTTTACTATTAATATAACTAAATTATTTAAAAAATTGTTTTCAATTATAAAATAACTCTTTTCAAATTACACTAACTGCATCAAACTCTAAGCTGTTATAATCAATAATCAATGGTTAAATTTCATTTAAATGATACTGTCACAAATAATATTTATTTTATCTACGACCTTTTATTATATTATATTATTTTCTGATCAACACTTGTATAATGTATTACATGAGATTCATTCGAAAACTCTTCTAATTAAGAAAAGTTTTATTTATTGATATTAACTATAGAAAACTCCCACCTCTTTTATCATTACTATAATCACCTCACACTAATATCATTGATAAATCAAATTATTTTCATCTATCATTTCTTTAAAATAATGCTTAAGATCTGCCCTATATCATTTCTCAATCATATTATTATTCGATCTCTATTTTAATTTATTTTAAGACCAATTAATACTCAAATTCTTCTATATAATTCATCCTTCCCATCAATAATTAAAATTAGATGGGTACTACTATCTATAATTTTTTATCCACTCTCTCATTCAACCATTACTTTACGTAAAAAGACCAAAAACAGATAAACTTTTCTATAAGCTTACTCCTACTGCTATATATTCTTTTACTGTAGTCTTGAGTTTTTGTGTGAACAATTTCTCTATGATTCTTCACAATTTCATGGGAGCTTCGATTCGGGTCTCATGATATCTAATTCGGCACAGCAGGTTTCATTAACTTTGCTACCAAAATTATTAAGAACCATTTCTATCAACTTGATCAAGGCTAAATTAATTCATTTATTAAATTCATGCTTTGTTTATTCCCTCATTTATAGATTTTTTATTATTTGCATAAGCTTTTACAAATTTTCTTGTAGATAATTAAACCTTTTCCTGTGTAAGGATATTCTCTAATTTGCACGTACCAATTTATTTTTTATTAATATTCCTACCATCTTTTCTTCATTGCATCTTTATCTACACGAGCCTTATTCAACTCATTCACTAACACTTTCATTTGCATCGCACGAAACTCGATCAATTCTTCAGTTGTCCAAAGTTGCTTTGTCACCATGACTTGGTAGCTTTCCAACGTCAACTCTATAGGTGTCACGGCATCTCGGCCATATACCAGACGAAAGGGTGAATACCCAAGATCATTGACCGTTATGTTACTGGCCCAAATGGTTTCACGTAGATATTCGTGCCATTTATTTTGCCTTTCGGTACATATTTTTCTTAATATCCTAGTTAATTTTTGTACAGTTCTTTCAGCTTTTCCATTTGATTCCGGATGATAACTCGCGGAGAAACCATATTCAATGCAAAGTCTTGAATTAAGTTCACTAACTAGCACATTTTTAAATTCTGTTCCTCTATCGGACACCAAGTCCGCAAAACAGCCATGTCGTAATATTACATCTTCCCACAAGAATTGGGCAATATTGGCCGCAGTTTTCCTTTTTAACGCGCGACCCTCCACAAATCCAGTTAAGTCTTCTACTGCTATAACTATATGTTCGTGGCCACCAGTAGTTCGAGGTAACGGCCCAATACAATCAACAAATAATTTGTTAAAAATCCAACTAGTAGACGTAACATAAATTGGCTCCGGTGGGATTTTTGGGGCACACCTTTGGCATGCATTGCAGGATGAAACATACATCTTAGCATCTTCATACACCGTGCCGGTGGCCCATACGTAATTCATTAGAATCTTCCGAGTGGTAGCATTTATCCCACGATGACCTCCTTCATTAGCTATCCCTTCATGGTTTGCCATCAGAATTTTCACCTTTTCATCGTCATCGAAAATCACCCTTCTAGGTGGTTTATCTTTTCCGGATCTTTTAAACAACTGATCATCAATTAAACAGTACCTTCGTACTTTTCGTTGCAACCGTTTTAAATCTACGCTTGTCACGTCGGAAGGCCAGATAAAATTTCTTAAATACCCACGCACAACCTCTAGGTCAGTTAATTTGGCATCCTCAGGAGCCACGTACATAATCAGTGAATCAATAAATTCGTCGTCTTTACTTGTATTACTGTTAGAAGAATTGGATAATCGAGACAACCCATCCGCATTTCCATGTTTATTTCCTGGCCTATATCTCACCCTAAACTCAAATGATTGCAATGCCAAGATCCATCTTATCAAGCGCCCTTTTAGCATGGCCTTGTTAAATAACCACGTTAATGCTTGATGATCCACCCATACATCGAACATCGTCCCAGCCAAATAACGATCGTTCGTGTTACAACCGAAAATCACTCCTAGACATTCCTTTTCGGTTATGGTATAATTTACCTCATGCTTATTCAACTTCCGGGATTCCAAGGATACTGGCCTTAATTTTTTCGAATTATCGCTCTGTTCTAAAACAGCTCCTAATGTCACATCGCTTGCATCGGTGAAGAGTTGGTAGGGATAAGTACCATCACGTGCACTCTGCCAATTCAGCCCTTTCAACACCGTTTCGCTCAATAAACAATTTTTTAATGTAATAAAGGCTTCAATCTGTTCTTTGTTCCACTGAAATCCCACTTCAGCTTTAGTTAAATCGGTCAGAGGCTTTGCTATATGACTAAAATTTTTTTATGAGTCTTCGATAGTAGTACATTACGCCCATGAACGATTGAACTTGCTTGAGATTTTCAGGCTCTTTCCATTCCTTAATCTTTTCGGCACGTCTTGGATCTACTTTGATACCATACTTACTAACAACATAACCATACATATGCAGCTCTTTGTATAAGAGAAAACATTTCTTAGCGGCAAAAGTCAAGCCCGCCTCTTTGAATTTTTTGCGCCAATCTAATAAATGTCTCTACATGATCTTCTTTAGTACCATCGGTCCACAACCTGATATCGTCCTGGTACGCGGCTGCAACACACTTCCATTCATCACCCTCTAATAACACATACATTAATCTCTGAAACGTTTCACTTGCATTTTTAAGGCCCATGCACATTACTGCATAGCGCAATGTGCCTAATGAGGTAGAAACAGCGACTTTATCGCGGTCTTCTTCACGAATTCAGATTTGCCAATAGCCTTTAAACGCGTCCACGCTTGAATACCAATCATGACCGACTGCCTTCTCCAATATATCTCTTATCAACGGCAGTGGATAACTATCCTTAATGATATATTTGTTGAGAGGCCGCATGTCACCTACTACACGAAAACGATCCGTTCCACCCTCCTTTTTTCGTACCGGAAAACAGTGGTATGCATATGGCCCTGTTTCCTTTTCTAACAGTCCATATTTTAACATTTCTTTTAAATGTTCTTCGAACATTTTAGCGTGTTCGGGATTGTTAATGCGAATTGGCCGCATACACGCTGGTAATATCTCTTTCCCTCCGGTGTGCACTTCATACTGGACCAAATCCGTCTTGCCTATTTCTGATAGGTCAAATGCAAATACACCTAATACCTTTTCAATCAATTTTCTACGTAGCTGCTGTTTCTCAGCCTCCGACAAACTATCACCAATATTAATCAAGGCACTGTTTTCCTCGGTTAATCGCATAACAAATTCTGGACCTAACCCATTAATAGTCCCATCCCAGTTTTCGTCCTTTACGGACTAACACATTAACCTCCCTTTATATTTTTGATCTATCACGCAGTTGTCACTAACACTATCAATCTCCTTCACAACTAGATCACCTACGTTGGAGCTTTCATATGCAACCTGACCTAATTTCTTTTTTATGTCCATCAACTCGTCTTCAACTACAACTCTACGCATTGTCATCAAATCTTCAGCTTCTTCCTCATCGATGTCGCTGTCTTCTTCAAGACTGTTCATCCACTCTCTTGGCACCATGGAAGCTATAAACTCTGCCCTCTTATTTTCAGACTCTACATTACACCACAATCTATTGTCTTTCCATCTCAACCCACACTTAGACGCGGCGAGCTAAGGCATACCGAGCAATACCTCGAAACTCGCAGCTTCCATCACATAGAACTCTTGGTATACAGTCTGACCTCTATATAATCACCAAGTTGGTTGCGCCCTAATATGGTGATAACATAGAGGTGTGACTATAAACAAAATACCAGGTTATAAGCACGTGATCAGAAGCTAATCAATGACTAAAGTAATATACAGTTATGAAATTTACTGTTAAAATTTTAAAATCTTTG